ATTGTAGGTACATGTAAAATTTTGTTTTTATACTGGCTTTATTTTAAGATGTGCAGCTTAATGTTGCTTTTGACCTAGGCAAAATCTTGTGCAGAGGCTAATGTTCTATAAAAAATAAAATAGCCATTATTTCTCAAAACTGTTTTTATTTACTTGTAATAAGATAATGGAGAAAATAACAACATGTATAGGTTGCATGTTCAAGTTTTCAGTGACCAATCCCAATGCATAAAATGTTACACATGTCCAACCTCTTGTTCACAAAATAAAAATTTAAAATACAATTTTGGCACAGGGAAAAAGTGCCTTCCCATAAGCACAGTCTCTCCTCCACTAGAGCTTTGGAGCTCTGCTAAGAAGGCATCTTCCCCAGAAGCCCACTTAATAAATTTTATAGCAGCAGAGTTTTCATCTTGTATTTTATTATTTCCAGTAGTGCCCAATATATGCCAGATGCCTTCCAAACAGAAAAAACAGTGTAGTCCCTGCCCTGGGGAGTTTGCAATCTAAAGACCAACAGAGGGTAGTACAACATATGGGATAGATCCTCAGTTGGTGTAAATTGCACCAGTTTGAAATTGTCTCGTATGTATCTATATAAGTGTAACTTTATAGAGTGGTCACGGTGGTGATTGGCTATATGCTGGTACACTTAAGCTGTGCAGGAAAGAACTGTTATTACTATACTATTGACTTCCCAAGATCAGTAAAAGAGAAATTTGCCTACTGCATACTTTAGAAGAGGTACAGGAGAGGAACTCCTCCAAGGATTTCCAAGGACCTGGTGCCACAGAAAAGCACACAGTTGTCAACACAAACTCTTAGAGACTGACACAATAGAAAATTGTGTACTTAATGGTTAAGATTTTTTTTCTCAAACTACATTAAGAGCTCTGTATATAATATTTTGTGCTGAAATCTATTTTTAGCACAAATATTTAGAGGGAAAGGAATATTTACACAACACTTTTTGTTTAAAAATGTTATGAGAAATATTAAATGAAAGTTTAAGATTACTTTTGTAAATAAGCAAACTTTTAGACCAAAAAAATTGTCAAAAATACTGTTAAAATATATAAATCACAAATTAAGGCAATTTACATAAATTATACCTTTATATTTACCAAAAATGTCTGTAAAATGTCACTTTAGTAATTCTAATAACTGTAAGTCTGACTTGGAAGACATCTTTCTGGACTTTTTAATTCACTAATATGTACGTCTTCTATTAAATAAACGTATAGGATGAGTGATGTAGATGTTGGAAGAGTTCATAACTATTTTGGAGGTGATAGCTAAAGTTATTCTAGGGTCATGTAAGGTGAAATTTTACATGTTACATGAAAGCTATAGTGAGGAACATGTAGGCACTGATTCACTATTGCCCTGTACTTTGGGTAGTACTTATACCAGTGCAAAATGCTGCAAAATTGTATTGGTAATATTTTAACTGACTTTATGTTGGTGATACAGAATTATTCAAATCCAAAGCAGTTAAGTCTAAAGCAGACTGCAAGGAGTTAGAGAAGAATCTCACAAAATTGGGTGATTGGGCAACAAAATGGAAAAACGAACTTCGATGTTGGTAAGTGCAAAATAGTGCACGCTGGAAAAAATCCTAAATATACATATACAATGATCGCTCTAAATTACTTGTTGCCAACCTAAGAAACAGATATTGGAGTCATCATGGATCATTCTCTGAACACTTCTGCTCAATGTGCAACAGCAGTCAAAAAGGCTGACAGTATGTTAGCAACTATTAGGAAAGGGATAGAATATAAGACAGAAAATATCAGCATACTACAATAGTAATCCATCAGTCCAGTTCTGGTTATCCCATCTAAAAATGGATATAGATTAATTGGAAAAGGTTCAGAGAAGAGCAACACAGAGGAGGGTGTGGAATGGCTTCCCTATGAGAAGATACTAAAATGATTAGGGCTGTTCAGCTTACAAAAGCGGCAACTAAGGAAGGATATGAGAGAGGTCTATAAAATCATGAATGGTGTGGGAAAAGTGAATAGAGAAATGTTATTTACTCTTTCCCGTACTACAACAATCAGGGTCACCCAATGAAATTAATAGGCAGCAGGTTTAATGAAAACAAAAGGAAGTACTTTTTCACAAAACACACAACTAACATGTGAAACTCATTGCCAGGGAATGTTGTGATGGCCAAAAGTATAACTGGATTAAAATAAGAACTGGATACATTCATGGAGGATAGGTTTGTAACCCTTCTGCCCATCTAAGTTGGCAGCAACAAGGGCCGGGTTCTGTATCTAGGGGTTCCGTTTCAATAACGCAATGCAAAACCGTCTCGAGCCCCCACCCAGTGACCTGGGACAATTACATACCACCCCCTGGGTGCCTCTAAGAGTCAATACTTCCCCTCTTGCAAGCACGGAGTCTGAGTGTAACAGAAAATGTTTAATAACATGACGTAAACGACATCAGCATTAAATTGGAAACACCACAAACAGGTTCATAACACAAACCATGAGCAAAAACCCACCCCAGCAAATTGGGCTGTGTCCTTTCCCGTTGGTTCTTGAAACCAGCAACCCAAGGATCACGAAAGTCCCAAAAGTCCAACAACCCCCCAACGTCTCTGTCCCTGGTCAGTGCAGCCCCAGAGTTCAAAGGGGGGGGCACGCAGGGTGTTAAGGGGCACCTTACGTGATCCGAGGCCGACCAGCTGCCTCTCCGTGGGGTTCCGCCGCAGCCTTCACCACGAGCCCCTCCACTCCACCAGCTGTCCCATGAGCCGCTCCTGCCGTCCCACGAACTGCTCTGGCAGCTGCTCCGCTCTGCTCCGCTCACTGACCTGTGAGCCGCTCAGCTCTGCTCCACTTCTGCCATCCCTTGGGCCGCTCCCACAAGGCTCCACTCTGCTCTGCTCGCTGCTCCTCCAGCCGCTCAGCTCTGCTCCAACGGTCCCCGCGAAGCTCCACTCTGCTAGCTGCTCTGCCAGCCACTTAGCAATATAGCTTCAGGCTCCCCCACTAGTTAACACAGCACTCAGTGATCGCAGCTCTTAATAACTTTAGCTCTTTTGTGATTTCAGCTCTTAGCAATTCGAGCTCATAGCAGGGGAGCCCCAGTGCTAATGCACCATTGGCCCAAAGTGAATTCAGCTCAGCAGCCTGTAACTAGACTCCTAATGGAATCAAAGTTAGCTCTGATATTCAACAGTGGAGAGAGAAAGTAGTGCAATTGGTGTTTCAAACCCTCAGAGGGGGCCCATACCATCAGGTACAAATACCTGTTCCCATCCTCTCTCCATTCACTGTGTTTTGTAACCCATGCCCCTTGTCAAGCAAGTGCTACTTAGGTAATGGTGAAGGACTCACTCAGTCCTTCTGTCATACAACAGTTCCACTGGCCTTGATTCACAGAATCAGGGTAACAAAACTTTATTCTTCCTCCCCCCAATAACAGAAAAAACTGAGGATCCCACACCAGCCAAAGTAACCACTTTGAGTTGCTGTTGTTTCATGCCAGGCGAGTGGGTGTGCCTATGCAAACAAGATCAGCCCCTTGAGTTCTTTTCCACACTCACCATAATTCACCACCAGATGTCAGGATAGAGCTCATCCTGACTCTGCTTACAGGTTCATGAATGGCTATTAGCCAGGAGAGCCAAGGATGCAACCTTATGCTCAGGGTGACCCTAAACCTCTGAGTACCAGAAGCTGGGCATGGAAGATGGAGTGGATCACTCCATAATTGCCTTGATCTGTTACACCAGAGTTTCAGGGGCAATGTTGGAGACAGGATACTGGGCAAACTGGACGATGGTCTGACGCATTATGGCTCTTATGTTCTTACATAAATGACTACATAGGTCAAGGATGAACTGGGTCCAGAGGGAACAAAATTGGGACTTGCATTTAAGCTCCCGTGAAATGCTTTTGGAGTTTTCAGATGGAAGACTGGGAAAACCCTGGTTATCCAAACTCTGCTTATGTGAGTTTCAGATGAGCTGAAGTTAGTTTTTAGTTCTAGAATCCAGAATTAAACTAAAATTAAATTTTGTGCCTATGAAACCCCAAACCTTTGAATAATTAGTATCCCTTTAAACATTCAGATAATTGGAATTTACCGGTAAAGATTCTGGCCTAGATTTCATAAGTGACAAGTGATTTGGGGAGTGGGGGTCCAACCTGAGATACTGCAGAGAAGGATTAGATTTTCAAAGGCTCAGCACTTTCTGAAAGTGCAGTCCCTTTTGAGTTGATTCAGGTGGGTCATTGAAAATCCCTGGGCAATTTTGAAAATATAACCTTTTGCTTTAGATTAGAGGGAGCTAGTGCTGGGTGTGCATAGGCCCCGCTGGCCTTGTACGGTAGCTGGCACCTCAACCAAGGCTAGTGCATCTCCCTTCTGCCCCCACTCAGTCCCAGGACGTGCAACAATCAATGGGTAGCACTGAAGGCTGGATATGTCTACACTGAACACTAATCCTGGGCTCTAACTCAGTTTTGAGGACAGGCTCCTCTTCCGTCCACACATAAACCAGTCTGACTCCAGTCCACAAGGGCTCAGGACCGAGGTCCTAGAACCCTACTGGATGAGCAGGGTGGATCAGAACTTGAATGCTGCTGTGACTCAGATCCACGCCCTGTCATTTTGCAACATGGATGCAGCTCAGGGCAGAGCTGAGTCAGAAGTAGGGTGACCACCTTTGTTGCATAGAAATAACGGGGAAAACACATGAAAAATAAGGAACAATTCTTCATTTTAAGGGATATTTGAGGGATACACGCTTTCCCTTAGCCTACCATGTATTTTTCACCAGTGCACATTTTTATTGCCCTCAAGTATACAATAGCCTAAGCTTCAGTATATAAAATGGTACATCTCCATTTTAATACAGCTCCCAGTAAGGCACAGGGGGCTGCCTGAGGGACAAATCAATGGCCTGAGGGTCCCCCCTCTTGTGCAGTGTGGGCATGTTAGCACAGCTGTGAGGCCCAGCGCCAGCAGCTGCAAGCCCGTTTAGGCGGTAATGTGGACGCTCAGCCGTGGGCTCAGGCGCGGGGGTCCAGAAGGCCGGCCCCCCGCGCGCGGTAGCGTAGGCGCGTGGCGGGAGCGGTGAGGAGGCGGCAGCGGGCGCCGCTGACTGGAAGGCGGCGCCTCCCCCCTCACAGCAGGCCGGGCGCGGGGCTGGATGAATGGAGCGGGGGAGCCAGCGGGCTGCGGCGGAGGGAGCGGCGGGGCCTGCGCGCCGGAAGTGAGCGGCCGGGGAGAGCCCGGCGCGGCGGGGCTGAGGCTGAGTCAGGCACTGGGGCGTGGGGAGAAGACGCGCCGCAGCCTCCGGCCAGGGACGCGCTCGGGCTGCCAGGCGGGGGCGGCTCCGCGCTGAGCGAAGGGGCCGGGAAGCGCCTGGGGGAGCCGCCGGCGCCGCGCTGCCACCATTAGCCGGGCGGCGAGAGGAGGAGCCGGGGGAGCCGCCGCCGCGGTGAGTGCTCAGCGCCTGCCCGGGAAGGGGAGCCGAGAGCCGGTCCTCCTCTCTCCCTTCCCGTCCTGCTCTGCTGGCAGTAGCCGCGGGCTGTATCCCCCGGCCTGGGCAGCGGGTTCCCCGGGGGTGGTGGCTGGGTCCCAGCCGCGGTGTATGGGGCAGAGGCTGGGGGCTCGCCCTATTGTCCTGTCTGGGGAGCGCCCCCAGCTTGGGGGGGATATGCACATCCCAGCTGGGGGCGGTGATTTGGGGAGGGGGGCAATAATAGATCGGATCTTGTGGTGCCCTAGAAGTGTGTGTAATAAAGCTGGATGGGGGGAGGAAGAAGGGCTCTCCCCTATATTTTGGGGCGGGGGGGGGATGGGAATAGGAGGAGCTGGATCCTCTTTTTTTACCACATCCCTGCTCCATAGGGTCACGCCAGGCAGAGTGTAGAAGAGGAAGGGTTGGGATTGCCCCAGCAGCAGCAGCACCGCATCTCGCCCCTCGTCTGTTACACTCTTCATGGCTCCAGTTCTCTTCCCCCTTAAAAATCAGTTCAGCTCAAGCTTTGGAAAGAGAGGGTCTGATGGGTGTGTGTGTGTTTAAAGGTGCTGTGGTTCGTCTCTTTCTCTCGCCCCTCTCCATTTGAATCCTGTCAGCGGTTTGTCTGAGCTTGAGGTGCAAAATAAGAGCTTTAATGTAAAAATAGGAATGTGATTCATTTGGTTGAAAAGAAAAGGGTTGAAAGTAGACCGGGGATGTGAGAGGAATCTGTTTTGTGGCATTCAGACAATGTCAGCTTTCGTGAGTCCCCACCCTGTGGAGCTGAAAGCACCATAGTCCCATCCACCGACTAACCAAATGTATATGGCAATAACTTAAAGAATCAACCCCCTTTCCTTAATGTAGGAGGAAAAGAACAAGGCTGATTATTTACAATTTTTAATTCCTTTTTTTAAAAAACCGTATTTTTGTAGCTATTTTGCCATCCATATTGGTGAGGGGCATAATGATTCTTGAAGAACCTCCCAGGCAAGGCTGATGTCTGCATTGGTTTTCATGAAGATGAGGCGAGTTTTCTAGTGCATAGAGAAAATCACCAGAGGGAGGAGAAAGAGGAGTGTCTGTATACAGAAATATATTTTGAATGTTAGAATAGCAGTTAAATTTACTATACATCTGTATTCAGTTTTTTCTTTTCCATTTTAAAATGGCTTATTATTTGAGGCAACTGATAGCTTTAAAAATGAACAGAGAAGTTATTTCATTTCTATTGGGTAATTGTCTTATTATGTGGCAACTAATAACATATCTATATGTTTTAGTTTGATTTTTGTATTTAGTTGTTTTCGCGGTGATTTTGACCCTGGTTACATGTACCCAGAAGGATAATAAAATGCACAGAAAAAGAAGCACCTACTCGTTTTCTATAAATAAGGTACTAAAGTGTCTATAAAGTCAGTTGGTGCTCTGTTGTGAAAGGGTTGAGAACCACTGTTCTCTGTGATTGTAGATGTAACTTAAAACTATGTTGGATGCCAGAATGACTTTTCTTAAGGGACATATCAACTTGAAAAACACAGTTCTGCTGAAAATTATGTAACTACTGTAGTTACCAGTAACACCTAAAGTTTTTAAAACAGAAGGAAGGAAATCTTTCCAGTTTTACTTTATGCTTAGTCAGTTTCACTGTTTTTTGTGTACAGCCAACTACTCCTTTGCTGACAGACCCTTCTGAAAATAGACAAGGAATAGAAAAATCACTTAAGAATGCCTACTGCGGACATACCATCTAAAACGGGTTCTCAAACTGGGAGTCGGGACCCCGCCGGGGGTCACGAGGTTATTACATGGGGGGGGTCGCGAGCTCCACCCCAAACTCCGCTCTGCCTCCAGCATTTATAATGGTGATAAATATATAAAAAAGTATTTTTAATTTATTAGGGGGGTCGCACTCAGAGGCTTGCTATGTGAAAGGGGTCACCAGTACAAAAGTTTGAAAACCACTGACCTAAAAGATGCTGTATCAGAAACTGGAATTTTAAATTAGTAATTTAAAAAAAGACACAAAACAAATTGACAGTGTCCCTGTGTAATATTTCAGTCACTCTTTTGAATGGTAGGTGAGTGGGAGGAATATAGAGCTAATTGTTTTGCCATGCTTCAGTTAGCACGTGGCTTTCATATCTCTGGGTGGCACTGGAATACTGTTACAAGAGTCCATGGTAGTGAAGCTTTTTCACAGTATGGAATTGTGAAGCGCCTCTGGAGCTTCTCCCCCACCCTCCAGATAGATGATTTCCCTAAAGTGGCTAGTTTTCAGAGCAGCACCCTGTGATGAAGTGTTCTGCTACCCATGTTTTTCTAGATTTGCTAGTAGGTGGTATGGTAGACAATATTGTTAAGAAACAAAACGCTCCAGTCAAAGAAAGGAGTATAGCTTACCAATTGTTGCATATCTTAGCCTTTTGATAATTTCATAGTACCAAGATTTTTCATATGAAAGAGAGCACTATGTGTAATATAAAACCTGTCCTCCCTGAGAGATTGCATAATAATGTCTTGAGACCATTACCTGTAACCTTGAATTTGTTTAAAATAGATTTTCCAGGGCAGTAGTTCATTATGATTAATTGTTTAGGAACTCTCTGTATATTGAGGTTTAAAAAAAAAAGTTTTTTTTTTTCTTTCTTTTTTTTTTAAAGCCAGGCTGCTTTTAATAAGAATATGTATTGAACTACCATAGGTACAGAATTATATCTTTCAATTTAAGCTTGGGTCACTGCGTGCAAGATTGATCCATTATCTATGTAGGCTACAGTATAAGTGTACTTACTGTATTTTTATTCAAAATGGGTTTTCAGATACCGTCTGGTATTGTAACTAATGTTTTTTGGCTTACTCGCTTATTTATTTATTTTTGCTAATAGACTGGTCAGTTTTCTTAAGCCATAAAGACATTGTGTTACTTTATCTCTCTCCCCCACCCAACCTTTGAAACAAAGATAGGAATTGGTTCTAAACTTTTAAAGCACTGTATGTTAGAAGAGTATCAACGCATCACATAAATATCAGACCCCTTGTTCTCCTTTCTGGAATATTATATTATTTTAAGTCTTTTATTGGGACATCTTTGTCTGGTATTGTTCCAGCACTGACAGGAAGTGTAACGCTCCCTCTCCCACCCCCACTCTTAAGAAAAAATATGTAGTGTCAAAGCAACTTTATGCCCCTGGAGGAAAAAAGTCTATCAAACAGGGACAAAGTTGAAAGCCTGAAGTAGCCAATCATGTCTAAACAAATGCTAAGACACATTATGCTGAAAATCACGCTCCTTAAATTCTCATTAGCAAAACAAAAACAGAAACAAAATAACACTCCAAACAAATAAAAACGTCTTGCATTTTAGCTGGAAGTGCAAGTCATAAAATAGCCATGCGAACAGAATAGCAAATAGATTTATTTGTGAATTTTCAAGTTAAGTAGAAAATCAAAATTTGGAACAAAATAGGGCACTGGACAACTTTCAAAACTGATATTTTCATTTATCATGTGTTGAGCACTTTGCTGACAACCTGGACCACATTAAAAGAGAGAATTTTAAAGCAAAAAAAGTGCTTTTCTACTTAACAGCTAGAAATGTTATGTAAGGAATTTAGGATCACCTATTATTTAGAGATGGATTTTGAAACCTTATCCAGAGGTGTAAGTTGAAGATAAGGCTAAAGTTAGTCTTCAAATTCCCTTGCTTTTGTCATTATGAAACTGATTTTACTGAATTATTTACCCAGTGGAGAAGGTTTGGATCCAGATTTCAGAGTCTGGAGTTCTCATATGATTTTTGTTCACTATTATTTATATTTCAGTAGCCCCTATTGGCCTCAGCCTGCTTGGGGTCCCATTGTGCTAGGTACTGTACATACATAGGCCCTGATCCTGTACAGACTTAAGCATATGCTTATTTTATGCCCTGGGAGTAGACCCACTGACTTGAATGGGACTACTCAGTATGTAAAATTGAGCGCTTGTATAATTTTTTACAGGATTGAGGCCATAGAAAATGATTGTACCTATCCCAAAGAGCTTATAATCTAAATGCCTGCCTTTAATTTTATTAGACTCTGCAAAAATATTACCCACAAGGATTTTTAAATACATAGTTTATAACAATGGCTCTCAACCTTTCCAGACTACTGTACCCCTTTCAGGAGTCTGATTTGTCTTGTGTACCCCCAAGTTTCACCCTACTTAAAATCTACTTGCTTACAAAATCAGACATAAAAATACAAGTGTCACAGCACACTATTACTGAAAATTGCTTACTCTCTCATTTTTACCATATAATTACAAAATCAATTTGAATATAAATATTGTACTTACATTTCAGTGTATAGTATACAGAGCAGTATAAACAAGACATTTTAGTTTGTACTGATTTCGCTAGTGCTTTTTATGTAGGCTGTTGTAAAACTATGCCAATATCTAGATAAATTGATGTACCCCCTGGAAGACCTCTGTGTACCCCCAGGGATACGTGCACCCTTGGTTGAGAACCACTGGTTTATAATATTTGCATGCTACGTTTGATTTATTTCCTAATTGAATAGGAATGTAAAATGCACATTGTGCCAATAAACCACACATATGTACAATTGCTTCATGATGTTTCAATACCCTTTCCTTAAAAACTTTGGGCGGGCGAGGGGGAAGAGAATACTTCTGGGCTTAGATGTTTTACGCAAAGGAATTTTTACAGCAGAATTAGGAATCCCCGGAAAACAAGGCTTGAAATGAAAAGACTCTTGGATTTGTGTGTCGTTTAAAACTCTTTAACCATTAAATCAGCAACTTTGATCTTGAAACATGCATGATGACATTAGACCTATGTATAATTTATATACAATAGAATATGGCTACACACAACAGTTGAGTGATTTTTTTTAAAGAGAATAATGAAATATAATTGATACTAAAAAATAATTGCCTAATTTAGTTTTGAATAAAAGAAGCTATTTTAATGGTCCAGAACACACCTTAGTCAAATTGTAGGTACAAGTCAACAAGGATTGAACGGACGTGACATTTTCTGCCTTTAGGTATTTGTACAACAAGGTTACGGGTTACTGGTGGGAAGCTTCCACTAACATTGCCTGATTTGTAATTGGTCTTTAGGTTGACAAGGGATTTAAGGTTCTACTGTTGTTAATCTGCAAGCATTAAATTCCCTTAAATGCTCTTTCTGTTGAAAAAGGCATATCTCAAAAGGCTTAATATTATAAACTAATAAGCCATTTTGAAATAGAATAGTTTCCATCTTACAGTGAACAACACATAACATTCTTTAATGGCTGAATATTTTACAAAATTCTCATCTAGAAAAATATTTTATGTTAGATTCAGAGAAAGTAAGTGTTGGTGCTAAATCAGAGGCATATTTCTGATAATTTAAAGCAGATCTAATGTATTGCAATTTTTTCTTTGCCTTTGCAAATAATAAATGCACTGGGCAAAAAATAGAGCTATGACTCCATATTTAAAGGTTTAACATTTTAATCATTCACTAGATGATGTTTTATAATCTTGATGACTACGTAGGTTACTATAGGTCTTTTAATGAAGAATTCCTGAACTGTCCTTTTCTGATGGTTACCACTTGTGACAATTTCCCCACCAGGAACAGCATGTCTAAAAGCATGTGCATCAGAATGTGTAACTATGGTGTTGAGTCACTAAGAAATAAGGATGGCAAATGGAGTTCTTTCCACCAAAGTTTTTTTTGACTTAACTGAATACTAGGGAGAAGAGAAACATGTGAAATGGATCCTTAAAATTCCACATGACCAAATAGTTATCTGAGCTAAAAGCTTATTAGCCCTGGAGCCTACTATCATAATTCAGTTGAATTTTGTTCTAGTAAGAAACTGACATATTTAAGATTGCTATAAAGACTTGAATGCAGTGTTGTTGTAGTTGTGTAGGTTCCAGGGTATAAGAGAGACAAAGTTGGTTCAATAAAAGATATTACCTCACCCACCTCATCACTAGAAAGACTTGTTCATTCACCTCATATCTCTTCAGATGAATAAGTGATATTTTTGTCTGGACATTTAAGTGTTTTGTAATTTGCATATTACAGTAAAAAACTGAGAAGAAACCTCATTAAAGTCTTTGAAAAATTGAGAAATAAGGAATCTTTTTAATAAAGACCTGAGTGTTGTACAGGGCAACTGCTAACTTATGGAGAAGTATTCTTTGTGTCTTGCTTCCTGACCTGCTTCTAGAATCCAAATTTGTATTGGAAAGTTATCATTTGTGGTTTCACTGTATCAATTCACCATCTTTGCATTATTTTTAAAAGGTACTGTATTGATAGTACTCAAAGTGCAACCATTGGCAGTGAAAGCTTCTTTTCTTCTTCTCCCTCAGTGTTACTCAACTCACACGTGGAACAGACAACTCTAGAGTGAAAGGTTAGTTCAGCCTACATGCATATTCAATCTTTTAGCATCTGAGACTGCCCACAAAGGTGCCAATAGTGGTGGATTTTGTCTTTGTTCTCTCTACCAATGTTATTAGATAGTAACTACTTTCTGACCCTACCATTCTGAATCAGATTTGAACCAATGACTTGGAGGTGCGGCATCTTGATTATTTCTGCTGTACTTCCGCTTTCTACTGAAATGTCCTTAAATGTGTTTATGCTTGAAATATTTTCATAATGAAATTACATCTTTATAGACAATGACTGGTAAAATGGCTTGCTTAGATTCTGACTGTTAACATTATATATGTTGAAGTAAATTGAAGTCTGAGTCTCTTGCATTGTGTGTGTGTTTTTGCTAAGAAATACATTTTTTGGTCTATTCTGGCAAGTAAGAGGAGACCGCCTTCCAATATACCTGCTTTGTTCCCATCATTTAAAAAAAACAATACAAATAATGTATTCTGTAGATTTTCTTCTCTGTCCTAGTTTTATGGCCGGTTTAGATTTATGAACTTCTGTGGTTTAGCTCCCCAGTGTGGATGCTGGGTTGATCCCTCTCTTCTAGTTTCATCCAGGCAATGAATAACTATTCAGGACAAAGTGATTTTTGGCATCCACTTTCCAGGTTCCCCAATCTTTTCCTATTTCACATTGAGGCACTATCTTCTAAGCTTCAACCACAAGTGTCATGGAAGACAGCACCAGCAAAACAAACACACAACCACTTTATGTAATGTAAGAATATACGCTGACTTCAGGGGCTCCTTCCAGATATTCCTCCCAGGGCATGTGTGGTTGCAATGCCTAGTTAAGCGGCTGCTCAGTAGTTCTCTGACCCAGCTGCCTGCTTGTAGGAGTTGACCCAAATGTGGTAGCCTTATCGCCTGTTCCCTTTTGAAATTCTCCTTAGTGAAATAATAGCATCATAGGATTGAAAGCTGAGCAACAGAGATCACAAAGGTTTTGTTGTTGTTGTTGTACTGGTTAAAAGTAACACCTCTTTAAGGTCAGTGACTATATTTTGGAGAAAATTTAGTATCCCTGCCCCTTCAGTTTAGGTGTGATAGTTAATAATATACATCTTCTGAGACATGCTTTCGGTCTTTCAACAAGATCAGAGTTGGCATTGGTTTTATTTCTAAGGTGTAAAAGGTTGGGTTTAAAAACAAAAAACCCCAACCCCCTAACACTGTCCTATTTTAGTGTCATAAAGGAGGGTTTTAAAAAAAAAGGCATACATTCAATTTTTTAAAAAACTCTCTTGTAGGTAATACTCCCCAAGCTTCAGTAAATGTATTCACTTTCATTTCCAGATCATAGCCTTTCTCTCTCTCTGTGGATATTGCTTGTGTCATGACTCATGTTGGCTGACTTTGTCAAATTGGGAGTGGATTTTGGAGTGTTATATATCCAGCTAAACTGTGGGTGATCTAGAAGAATCAATTTAAAAAAAATTATTTCCATAACTGAGGTGGATTTTTTTTGTAGCTCAGTAATGATGTTCCAAAACAGAGTGACATTGACACGGGAAGTGCATTAGTTTTGCAAAAATTCTGTACTTCCAGATTTGTAATGTTAAGCCTATGCCTTCCTGTTTAATGTTGGAGCTCATTGTTTGTTGCTATTGCTAATCTTCCGTGGTTTAGAATGAAGACTATTGAATGAGACTACAGTACTTATGAAATTGAGAATTTTCTTTTCTATAACTTGTCTAATATTTGTCCAAATTTATTTGACTTCAGTATTCAAATTATAAATACTTTAATGGTTCTCTGCTTCTTAGATGATGATAAAACTATTTTATGGCTGTGGCACTAGTATCTTGGGTCCCCTATTCTTGTTTTCGCAATATCTCTAGGGACATGGAACAGTCTTTGACTGAGTGTCCCAAGTACCCTCTTACTCCCTGCCTATATCTTACTACAGGTATAGTTTCCTTTCCTTGTCAGTGAAATTCTCAAGTAAACCTAAGATCAAAATTATCTTACAATGAAACTTATGGGTGAAAATGCTGTCGTGATAATTAATTATTATTATTAATAACGTTTTTAAAAACAAACTTAGATTTTGTATACAGTTATATGTAGTCTACTTCTGGGTATTAGTGTAGTCAGAAAGTATAAATTTGTAACTAGATTTAAGATAGTATTCAACTTGGGTCCGAGCGCTGAAGTGTGTGTTGTTCCATCATATCTCCTCTGTTATCTGGCCTATCCTAGAAATCATATCTGTTGCTAGTAATGGGTGTAGGCTGTGGGTCCAGTATTGATTCTCTGAAACAGTTTAACTGTAATGTAGTCCAGGACAAACCATTCAGTTCTGTTTCAGAAAGCTGCACTTAAGACTTCTTCAAGCATCTTTTTCATTTCAGAAAACTGATTAAACTAAACACCAGTTTGTCCTGAGCTATGCTTTTCTAGTGTAGACTTGGCCTCTTAATGAAACTATCCACCTGTGTCATGCATAATCTCCTTTTCACATTTTTAAGACTTTTTGAAGTAAAGGTACAGGTCTTTTCATTAATATTCCAGTCTCGAAATTCTTTTTTCATTAGTATATTGATAATGAGGATTGTTCACATCCTATTCCTGCATTCAGTGCCTCCTCACTAATCCCGATACAATACTGGGGTGTGTTCCATTCAATATGGAATAAAACTAGATCTTTGTTTTCTTTAATTAATAGGTCATTTCTCCATTTTTCTGTCCTTTAATGTATTATTTCAAAAGTTTCTTGAACCTGCATAGGTGGTAACTTTTTCATTGTGTACAGGTTGGGCAGAATAAAGTTAATTTTATATGTTGTTAACCTCATCTCTGAGGAGGCCTCGTGGCTGTGTTGATTTTGAATGCAGGAATTAAGGCATCTTCTTTTTCAATCCCAGTTTAGGTGATTTAGATTTCTGTAATTCCTGTCTGTCACATTTCTTGATGGATAGTGTTCAACCTGTGATACGATGTAAAAAATCCCAAGGGTTAAGAGAATTTCTGCCTAGAAACCATTTAACAAGTCTCTTGTTTCTTATCTACATAGTCACAAATCCTGTTCACTCTTACTTGGCTCCTGATTTTGCATTGTGTGCTTTACATGTTTCCAAAGCAGATTGCCAACTCTGTAGGGTGCTTATTTGCCATTAGGAATTTGATCCATTAAATCTTACACTTTAAAGTACTATTATCAAAACATAACTGTGGCAAGAATTTATAATGTCTGTTAAATATTATAACAGTAATGGTCACTCATGCAACATTGACCACATATGCTTAATTTGATGTCTTGGTAGATCACTTAGATATTTTTTTAACTGCCTCGTTGGAAAGATCAAGAGAGCCATGCTGCTCATACATTTTTGTTCATGTAATCTTATTAAAGTACTCATCTGCTTTTGTGCCTTTTCTGCACTATCCTCTTGGTGATTGGATGGCAATGGAACACTTCTTAGTTTACCATCCAGTCCTTTTATCTGTATGTATTTCAAGCTCCTGCTCCCTTGGGATAGAGATTCACTTTTTTTTCTCTTTGCAGTTACTCTGTCAACTCTGCTTCTAAGTTCAACACATTCTTGACTCTTTGTTTCGTTTCTGATATCTTCCTTCCTCCTTCCTTTGAAACACTTTTTGGAAGTCTTAACTTAAATCACATTTGTCTGAATTTTCTAGTATCCAAATTGTGTCCCTCTACTTGATCTCTGTTAAAACAGTATTGTTTTAGTTTCTCCCTTAAGTTTAATAGACTTAACTATTTTTCTTTCTCTGACTATTGTGTTAGTAAGAGAGAGAGGAAAAGTAGCATTTGGAGTAATCAGTTAATTATATAAATATTAATCATTGATTGTGTAAATTCTTTTGAACTGTGTCATTGTCAGCTGTTTGAGAACTCCAAAAGAGTACCTTGACCCACTTAATCACATAATTGTTAGTCATTTTCAGATTCTAAAATTTCATAAACTGTATTAACTAATGCAGATGTCTCCCAGGGGCTTTCTGAACATCTGCAACCATTCCTTTTGTCAGGTGTGATTAGATAACTTAAGGACCTTTCAAACTAATACATTTAGTCAAAATGTATGTACTAAATTCCCTTTGTGAAATTACTTCCTTAAGTTTTTAAAAAATTTAAAAAAGCCCAAACAAACAAGCTCAATGATGACTTCCTTGGAGAAAATGAGAATAAACACCTCACAGCCTACCTTATTAATGCATGGCTTAAGACAATGGGTAGATAATTCTGGCTGACTTGGTTTGATAGGTACAGTAAAATTTACAGACTATTCCAAAAGAGTAATTTATAACTATTGTATTTGGAAAACTTCTGTGTTTTGCTTATCAAAATTTCCTAGATTCTGGCATTTCTAGCAATTTAACTTTAGTTAATGATATCTGTACACAAGATTTAAGAGACACACAACTCACACAACTCAATAGTAATATGAAGCTTTTTAGGAGAACAGGTGAATGCAGGAACAATAGTTGTGTGTGCCAGTTTCACTGATATTACTTTTCAGAAACTAAAACCTACTTTGTGGATAGCAGTGGTGGAGAGTCTACCTTTTCCTGCACCTCTGTTGAAGTGCACACTCCAACCCATCAGCAGATGACTTAGTTCTTGGCTGTGCTGGCTCCTTCAGAGCAGCTCCATAGAACTGAAAAGCGACTTTTTGATTTGTGTTGCAGCAATGGTATGTACACAGTAAAAAGAAAAAAAAACTGTAATGAGGTGTACTAGTAGTGTAGGATATCCTCCTGTTTTCATTTAAAAATAAAAATCCACGATTGTTAAGGATTGGGAATTTGGAAACTCTTTGCCAGAAGGAAGGTATGAGAAGCTTCCCTTTCAGTAAATAAGGCAAGGAATGTTTTATGGAGAAAATTTTAAAGCTCCCATTCCCTTCCCGTTGCTGACAGGGAGAAGGGTATGAAAGAATGGGAAAATGAGTGAAGTTCTCAGATGAGCCACAGAACGCATATTCTTACCTATTAACGTGCA